CATTTCACATCCATTTGATAAACATCAAAATATTTATGAGCTGCATAGGCCAAAAATATTCGAACTGCCCCGAGTCTTGCGACAGGGGCGAAGGTTTCTTCATAGTCTATTCCTTCTTGTTGCGAATAGCCTTTTACTACAATCCTAGCTTTATTTCGAACAATATTACCATCTTTGTCTGTTTTGTTTTTGAAAATCCATTTTAACCCAACTATCGAAACGTCTTTTGGCTTAGGAATTAATCTCCAAACCTTGTTTCTTTCGAATTCAGCCAATTCAGATTGCATTGCAACAACCCAATCTGAGTTTTCCATTGCAACCTTGACTGTTTTTGGTTCAATTTTCGAAATGAAAACGTTAAACATGCAAAATTCTTGATGCTCATTAAGTACCTCATTTTTTGCACGAAGTTGTGCCCTTGTTAACACACCGTCTTGTGGATTTCCAAGAACTTGTTCCTTTGGATGATTTCTTGTCCATTTATGTAAAGGTGGATATGCTGGATCAAAATCCAATGGTGCATCTTCAAACATTTCGTCATTTTCAGATTCTGTAACAGAAACATTGTCATTTGAATCATAAAAATTTTCATTATGATCACTATTCGACATTATTGAATCATTTCGCTCCCCCTCAACAGGATGCTCCCCCTCAACATCATTATCCAATCTCCTATACTCCCCCTCGAAAGGATGCTCCCCCTCAACCTGAGTTGTCGAATTCAAGTGCTCCCCCTCCACTTGATCATTAAGCATGCTTTCGTCATTTCTTGGAGAATTCGATGTTGAATTTAAGTCTGAAATATCTTGTGTGAATGTCGAATCATCAAGATGCTTTGAAGCTTCAGGTATGCGATTATCAGTTGCATTAACTTCAGCATCAGCAGCCATATCTGGAGTACCAAAAACTAAATCATAATCAAAATCTTTCGAAGTTGAAATTTCAGACTCAACATTTGATTCATTAATAATTGGTGTGTGATCAAAACATTTTTCGACTTGTTTAACATAATAATTATCAAAGGTAAGATTAAACATTTCTTCCACTTTTCGTGTTCGTTTTTTCAACACTTTGTATGCAACCGAATTATGAGAATATCCCAAGAAAATTTCTTCGTTAGCTTTAGACTGAAATTTCGAAAGATTATCCTTTAGATTCATGATAAAACACCTGCAACCAAAAACATGAAAAAATTTGACATTAGGTTTTCGGTTATTTAGTATTTCATAAGGAGTAATGTTGAAACGACGATGAATAAACGATCTGTTTTTAGTAAAACATGCAGTGGAAACAGCTTCAGCCCAAATATATTGAGGAAGATTCGCATATGTAAGCATTGTTCGTGTTGCTTCACAGAGAGAACGATTTCTTCTCTCAACCACACCATTTTGATGAGGTGTGTATGGTGAAGAGAAATTATGCGAAATCCCTTGATCAACTAAAAACGAATCAAGAAAGTTATTCTTGAATTCAGAACCATTGTCACTTTTGATTTTTCGAACTTTCTTCTTTAAGCTGATCTCAATCTTTTTGATAAAGTCGATCATTACTTGAGCAACATCAGATTTTAACCTGAGAAAATAAACCCAAGTAAACTGTGAAAAATCATCAACAATAACTAAAATGTATCGTTTCTTGTTGAGTGTCTCAACAATCGATGGTCCACATAAGTCAATGTGAAGTAATTCCAACGGTTCAACAATCTTTGAATCAATAACCACATGATGAACTTTGCGATGTTGTTTTCCTTGTTTGCAAGATGCACATAAAGTATCATTATCAAATTTTAACACAGGAAAACCTCGGACAAGATCATCAACTACCAATTTATTGATATTTCGAAAATTCAAGTGAGAAAGTCTTCGATGCCAAAGCCAGCTAACATCAGCTGAAGCTTTCGAAAGTAAACACACTGAGTTGGTTTTCCTACGATTAGTTTGATAGCGCGAGTAAACATGTCTCCATGTCGTTTGGATGTGAGCAAAACTTCTTTAGTGTTAACATTTGAAATGATGCTTCCTGCTTCGTTAAACACCACTTGATTTCCAGTGCCCACAACAAGTTGTGAAACACTTATCAAGTTATGTTGAAGACCTTTGACATAAGCAACACGAATTACAGTAAACTGTCCATTCGTTACTTTCCCGTAACCTTTTACTTGACACTTGTAATTGTTCCCAAACTTCACTACACCTGCATTGTCCAAACTTCGAAAATTACGCAAATTCTCCTTCTTTCCAGTCATGTGACGAGAGCAACCACTATCTATGTACCATTTATCATCATATTGCTCGTCACACAAAACCTGCAATTAACGAAAGAATTTAGGTACCCAAGGCTGTTTGGGTCCTTGGTTATTAGCTTTGAAAACTGAGTGAAATGAAGAACCTAAAACCCAATCACGAACTTTTGATTTGAAAATATCAATTAAGTCGACATCATTAGGTAAAGGAGCAGAAACATACGTTTTCGAAGGTTTAGGATTGTCACAGACATTCGCCTTTTTGTTCGCAGCTTGTGTTTCAACATGTTTATCTTTCGAAACTAATTTCCATGTTTTCGCAGAAATATTTGATTCTTTTGAAGATGAACTTTCGTTTGAAGAATAATTCACATATTTCTCATAAGCTACTCGAATTTGTTGTTGGGAAAAATTTCGAGATTGGAACATCTTTCCTTTTCCTTCAAGCCAATGGTCGATATTCTTCACATTTGACGAATCCTTAGTGTATGAAACTTTTGAATTCTGCTTCCCAGAAGGATTTGGAAATTTTGGTTTTTGAGGAGTGAAATCAACATTTGATCTAGGACGAAATTTTTCAAATTGTCGATTTTTAAAACTGTTTTCGACATTTGTGTTTCATGAAAATCGATTTTGAAAATTCTTTGATTGAGTTGATGGATGAGTGTGTTTTAAATTTTGATTTTGAGAAAATCTTTGTTGTGAATGAGGAGAAAATCGATTTTGAAAATTTTGATTTGGAAATTTCTGTGATGATTGATTGAAATTTTTCGAAAATGATGTAGTGGCTTGAGTTTTATCTTTCGAAAATGTAGTTTGTGAAATGGATTCAGACAATGATTTCTTAAATTGAGCGGGATTTTTCTGATTGCCTGAGTTTGACAAAGACTTTGTTTTAACAGATTTGAATTCTGTCTTTTCAGATGTTTTCTTTGTCAATCTGTTTTGTTTCTTTCGAGACTCAACAGTTTGCCAGAAAACTTTCTTTCGTGCTTGTCTTTTTGAAATGTCATTATCTTTCGAAAATTTGTCAATTTGATCTTTAAATTCTTTTGAGTTGATTTTGACAATTTGTTCAGTTTTCTGCTGTTTTTGTTTTGGAATTTCATTTGAAACTTTTTGTTTCTCAATCCATTTTCTTTGAGGTTTTTGTCTTTGAAAAGTGTATGTATTCTTTGTGAGATTGTTTTCAATAACACTCCGATTTGCAAAAAATCTTTCATCAGATGTTTGTTTGTTATCTTCCTCAACCAATTTGTTAAATTCTGGTTTAATGCTTTCGACATTTCCTTTTGTCACAAACACTTGATTTGGAAAAACGACATCATCTGAGCATTTGAAGTTCGGATACACCACTTGATTAATTTCGAGATAATGAGCACCCTTTTCAGTCATTATCTTATCGAATATTTCAGTGTCACCATACACTTGATCAACAACAATTCGTGGAATTGCTGTTTCTTTCGACTCGTTATTTATTGATGGTGTTTTGTTCGAAACTTCATCATCATTTTCATCATCACTACTATCAGTTTGACTATCTTTGAGACTCACATGATCGAAATCAAAAACTTTCGAAGTTGAGGGTTTGTCGGTGTCAATCTTAACCTTCGAATCATTACACTTTTCTTTTCCTTTAGACTTAGATGCAACATTAACGATAGACAACTAAGAACATCCTCAAAATCACTAATTTCGCTAATATTATCAAAATTATCTTCAATATCAGCAAAATTAGATTTAGAATCAGATGTTGAATTCTCAGTTCTTTTCAAAATTTTAATTTGTTCAGTTTTGGTCAAGGTATCATTCACAATATCAACTAATTCATCTGCATCAAGATATTCATCAATTTTCACAATTCCATAAGCATATCTATCATCAGGAATTTTATCAAATTCGGCAATTGTTTTCTCACAATCATAAGAAATGTTATCAACCTTCTCTCTCTCTCGTAAGCTAAAAAAGGTAATAACTTTCTATGTTGTTCCTTGCTTATATCAGATGAATGATGCAAAGCAGTTAATTTCGCATAAAGTCTTTTCGCAGAATCACAATATATGTTCCTTTGAGCTAGCAACATTTTTACTTCACTACTCAATGAATCCCTATCATACATGATATTTGTAATTTGTAACTCTAGACTTTCTATTTTTATTTTCTTGAAATCTAACTGCTTCTGAACCTCTAGCAACTGAGAAGTTGATTTCTTAGCTTCGTTACTAGCAGAGATAACCAAAGTATCAAAATAAGCACTACAAATAAAATGACGTTTAGTGGCACAATTTTTTAGTGGCATATTAATTTTGTGCCACTATTGTTATATTTTAGTGGCACATCTTAAAAAAAAGAGAAAAAACGCGCTCAGTCATAAAAATGAAAGGAGAGATACGTCGAATTTTTTTAAAACCCCCGCTTTTATCCCCAAAATCTTAAAGAGGGAAAAATCCCTCGCTCACATGAAAATCAGAAGAGCCCTAATCAATTGCTCTCTATCTCTCTTCTCAATTCTACATATCACCATCCCTAAACTCGTTCCATTTTCTCCTTCCTAAACGATACGGTAGCAGTCCCGAACGAAAGTCACCCTTTTCCCTTCTTAAAAGAAATTCATACCGCTCTTTCTCTCTCTTCTTTGATACGAACATAGTGGAAGGGAGGGGAAGCATGATTATGTTATAGAGGTGGTTGTAAGGGAGGTGATTGTGAACGGAGTGACGATCTTGATGGCCACAATAGTCAATCGATGACTGTACATATGGATTCTTTCCATCTCAAAATTCTTCTCAGTATCCGGCCCTAATTTCATACATTTCCGGAAAATCAGGAGCTCTAAGCATATCGACGACCCATTTAGGGTGAAATTCTTTCTAAGTTTCTTTTGGCTAGCGAACAAAAGGTAATATTTTTGTTAATTTCTCTATATAATTTTAGATGTTTGTGATTCTGATGAAGAAGATCCAAATGTGTCGACGGTGACCCACACGTGGTTCTCGACGGTGACGCAGCCCCACCATCGAACGAATACAGGTTTCTCGGCGACGGGGATGCAACCCTAGATCGGACCAGCACATGCTTCATAATAGATGTGAACTTACAAATTGCTTATCTCTCTTGGGAAAAAGGAATCACAGAATGGTAATTTTTTTTTCTATTCATTGATTAATTCATTCCATTTTCGAAATTAAAAGTTTTGTAGCAATCTAAAAACACTTTCTTTTTCGTTTTTTTCAGGAAAGCTATGGACAAAGGAAGGAACGAATGAGGAGGAAAGAGATACAGAGAGGATGGACAAGAGAGATAGAAAGATGACTGATATCTCACTTCCAAGATCGATGCGGTTCTTATTGTTGTTGTCCTTAATTTTTGAACAAATATTCACAGGTTTGTTTCTCATATCCGTAAATCACTATGATTTCCTTAAATCACTTAGATTTATGTAAAAATAACGTCATGTGATTATCTTTAAAGATTGATTTAATTTTATGTATGTGGGTTTTGTTCTAAGTCGTGATATGATACGTGTTCTAGGGTGTATGTTGATTCTTATATTTGTTTGTGTATGTGTTTGGAACAGTTTAGTTGTTTCTGAATCTATCATAACCTGTATTTCTCTTGTATACTTTCATGATGTATTAGGTATTGTATTATGAATAAATTGAAGAGGAAATAGTTGTGTTAAAACAAAAGAGGAGCCAATGAAATCTTGTTTTCATAGCATGTTTCATTTTATGATCCATACTATATTTGTTTCAAGACTTTTAAGAACACGGTAATATAAAATATGGAGAAGACTATGATCTGATCTATGAGTTATGCATCTGTTAAAAGTCTAACTAAAGACCATATGTTTCTTTTATGTTAGATTTTTACATGTTTTGGCTAACATAATGATTTTAATAAGCCTAATTCTCATTTTCTTATTTTTTCTTTTAACTTCTTTGATTTCAATAAGCATGCACAACCTACAAATATCAGTTATAATTATTATTATTTTTATATTTGTTTGGTTCAGGATGGAGCACAATCACATGGAGTTGCTACAAAATCTCGCAATCCGTTTGATTTTTGTAATGTTGTTGATCTTGAAGTTAGAAACATTATGTTTTGAGTACTAGCACGATTTAGACTTATTATTTTTTCAAGACAATTGTGTTTTAGTTATTGAGAATATTGTTATAGGAAAAGTTTGAATTGAAGTAAAGATGTTGTGTTTTACATTTATTATCTTAATTGTCTTATTGTTGTTTTATATTTCATTTAAAATTAAAAAAATGGATTTAATTTATTAATATAAATTTTTTTGTTAAAAAATGTCACTAAAAGCATGAAAAAAATTAATTATTTTTGTAGTTAAATAGTAGCATAAAAATAGTGACATTAAAACCTACAAGTTTTTTAGTGGTATAATAAAAAAGTGCCACTAAAACCAGATTAGTCTGCAGCGGCACAACCAAAAAGTGCCACTAAAGGTCTTTAGTGGCAGCTCTTTTAGTGGCACTTTTTTTTGTGCCGCTGATTGCTAGGGGGGTCTTTAGTGGCACTTTTTCGGTTTTTAGTGGCATTTTTTCTATGCCACTAAATGTCATTTAATTTGTAGTGAAGCAACAGTATCATCAAAATCAAATAGTTCAGAATCATATGCACTTAAAGGAATATTAAAAGTTTGAAGAATAGAACGTACCTTTGTTGACATGGGTGATTTATCTCCTCCTTTGGTCATAAAACAACGACCAATCACTGCTTCGTTACTTTCTTCCTCATACTTTGCATACATGGCACCATGCGTAGGATTACACATTTCCTCATCATCCGAACCTGATGATCAAATCTGGTAAGTTCCTTCATCATCATCCTCACTCTTCGCCACCAGAGAAGTTCCTTTCGCTTTTGCCCGAACTTCTTCTAAACGCTCCACATAGTATGCTTCGTCCTTGACTCTATTCTTCTTTTCATCTTTCTTACGAAGCATACAATCATTCGCCATATGATTAGCTCCGTGACAGTAGTGACAATCAATTCCCGAATCTCCTTTAAGTTTCTTCTCAGCTTTGGATTCATTAGTCTTCGCTTCATTTTTCTCAAACTTTTCTTTTCCTCACTAGCTGACTTTTTAACGAAACTTCCTTTAGCATCACCTTGTTTCATCTTTGGATTGAACGGTTTCTTGAAAAATTTCTTTACTCGATTGTTTGAGTAAAAAGCAATCGCCTCATCATCTGAATTCATAAGAAGTCCTTCTTCATCAGAATTCTCTTTTTCAATCGACTCTTTCTCAGTTACTTTCGAAACAAGTGCCATAGGACCTCCTAAACTTAGTTTCGACTCTTCTGCCATCTCATTTACCTCTCGTTCGTGAGTTTTCAGAAGATTGTACAAGTCATTCAAAGATGAATTATCAAAACTTGATTGTGTTTTTACCATCAAAGTAACACTTCTCCATTCCTTTCGAAGCTCCATGATGAAAGTAAGGTTAAACTCCATTGTTGACCTTGTAATCCCAAAGCGATTACACTTGTAAATAAGTTCATTCAAACGATCATAGTAGCTTTCAATTGTTTCGTTGTCTTTTTGCTTGAATTCCTCCAACTCAACCAAACATTGCTTGACTGAATTGATCTTAGTTTTCTCTCTTCCTTGAAACTTTTCTTTGAGATTGTTCCAGACGTCTTTTGCAGTTGTACAGCTTCTGACATAGTTGTACACAACAGGAGGCAACACACCACGCAATTCTATCATACATCTTTTCTCAAGCTTTCTTCAGCCTATCAGATTGGTCAGTAACACTTGAAGTTTCAGATGGAGATCCAATTTCTTGAACATTTGGTGGAGGAGTACCATTTCCAGTAATACATGACCAAAGCTCCTCATCCAGCCCGTTCAAGTAGCCTTGCATGCGATCAGCCCACTGATCATAGTATTCAAGATGAGCATAGGAATCTTAGTTGAAGATCCTAGCAGATGAGAATAAGAAATCATTGAATTCAGGTTGAAATTCGCCATGAACGTATGGATTTTTCAGAAAAACTTAAGAGATTTTGAAAGCAAATTGCTGAAACGATCAGAGATTTCAAGTAGAACACTCGATTCAACAAATCAGTTGCAAAATCGAATCACAACTGTAGATCAAGAACAATTTTCACAATTAAAGGTGCGGAAACTTTTGAATCAAAAAATTGATTCAAAAACCTTTTGATTCAGAATGAAAATCAGATCGCAGAGATATGATTCCTGCTCTGATACCAATTGATGAAGTATTGAATCGAATAATGAAAGTAGAATCAGAGTTACGAGAATTAAGAACACCGAGAGTAAATAAGATCTTGTTTCAGCTCAATTATGCTTCACAATTACAAAGAGAGAAATAGACAAGACAGACTCCCAAAACTCTTATCTAACTCTAAGTAACGTTTCTTATTTATAGGAAAACAGTAAAGCATACAAAAAATACTAAGGCAAGAATTCGGCTTCGACTAAAAGGTGCCTTAGTAAATACATAATAAAACTAACGAAGACATCTATTACACATACTTCGACACATTACAATATATTTTCGACCTTACACATTGAAGTTAAGATATCTTGAGCAAAAGTGGTATATAGAAGAACTTTTATCCTGAACACAAAAATGATTGAAATACCAAGGTAATCTCGAATCAACTATAATCTGTTCTTATGGATTCAAAGGACAACCACTCAAGCTCTGATACCAATTGTGAGAACAAGGATCTGATTACGCAGGGACAAGGTTTGAAAACTCAAACCTTGATTTAATGCTTAAGATCAGTGTCTCCTTCTTATTGATAGTTCCAGTCAAGTCTGGCAAGACCAGTCAAGACTAAATATGAGTATCAACAAAGTACTTCAAGTATTGAATATGAGACTATGAATATGATCAAGGTAAAGACAATAAATGAACACTGGGAATGTTTGAAAGAATGATTTGAGAGAAAGGTGCAAGTGAAATAAATGTGAAAATATCTATCTTTGGAGAAAAACAACCCGCCATTTAGTTTGTCATTGAATGCTCTTGAAATAGGAGAACAAGTTACATCGTACAAACCAAAAACATACATAGGACTGGATAATAGAGTTACTCCTGTCACTCTGATTATCTAAGTTGACAAAAGAGACTAAGTTCTATGATACGTTACATCAAACTAAATGACAAAAGTAATTAATACATATTGATAAACTGATTTCGGAAGCATACATCAACACTTGAATATTTTCTCTATTCCGGACACCAAATGACTTCGGACCACAGCTGACTTCGGAACACTCTTCACTTCGAAACTGACTGACTCCGGAACATCCAAAAGATAGAGATTGCTAGAGTTCACTTTCAGGTTCCAACAAAAACAACTAAAATTAATGAGTAAATTCGACTGACGGGAATACACCAAATAGATCATGTTGCCTTTTCTTCCACATCGATGCAACTTCCTTGTGGTTTCCATGTTATAAAATAGTGAAATCATGGCATAATACAAACTACCACGAACTCGTGAGTTTGATCTCATATCTGTTCGAAAAAAGGAATTAAAATCTTCAACCTTCGAGCAAGGGTTAAGAAAGTTTTTCTTACAATAAATATGTAATATGAGATTTCTGATATCTCATTCAACTTCTTCCTTATATCTTGCATCAACCTGCTAATACTCCCATCCCCGATTTCCATAAAATCAGTGAAGCACTTGTTTCTTTTTGCAACTAAAGATAAATATTAAAAGATTTCTAAGAAAATTGATGAAAGGAAATGAAAATCACAATCAACCCGAAAACTAAGAATCATGAAATCTATGAACAAGGATAAACTTTTGGGGTGGCCGATTTTGTGAGATTTAATAACGTCTTGGTGTCAGTTTGTTGTAATTTTTGGCTTTTTGCTATTTCTTAGTTGGCACTGACGGTGCAACGAGCTATTCGGTTTTTAAATTTTCTTTTATCTTTAATTTTTTAATTATTAATCATAACACAAGTCAAAAAAAGTAGATGTGACTTGGCTTCTATTCTTAGGTCCATTTGTCTAGTATATCGGTTACAAACTTATAAGTAGATGTGACTTGGCTTCTATACTTAGATCTATTTGTCTAGTATATCAGTTACAAACTTATAATTGATAAAATACATGTTATTTTATTTTATTTTTCTTTCTTTCCAATTTATATATTTTGTATATATTTTTTACCATAAACATAATATTTTTCTTTCTTTCCCCTTCTTTTAAATTAAGTAGGCGAATTTCCGTTGCGTAGGTTAAGATTATGTAGTTGTTAATATTAACTACGAAATAATAATTCTTATATTAAGTTGATATGCAAAATTGTAATTTTTTTGAACAATATAATAAGATAAACCTATATTGCAATCCAAATGGCCTCTACATACGGTTTACGTATGAATATAATTAAATGTAATTTTTTATGTAGTGTTACTTTTAAATATTTATTTCATTAATTAATTTAAAAATTATTTATTTGATTAAATATTATTTTTAACTGTTGTTGTGGTTAATTAATTAAAAACCTTATTTTAAAACATTTATAATAAATGGATCATAAGCGTTTTTGGTAAATATTAAGTAAAATAAAAAACATCATTTTCATAACTTAGATCATTTTTATTGATAGTTTTAATGAATTATTAATAGTATATCAGACACTCAATAACCTAAATAACATATTTTATTAGTATTTATTGAACACATAATATTTTCAAATATATATATATATATATATATATATTATGTATTTTATATTATCCCTTATCTCGTAACAAAAGCATTTTAGTCATTTAAATTATATTATATACTTATATTTTTTTATATACTAATTAATTAGTCTACTATATTATATAGGCAAAATAAAATTCAATATTATATGGAAAAATATATATAAAAAAACATTTTGAAGTCAATTAAAATTACATCAAATAATTTTAAAATAAAAAATCAAAAATCAAATGAGGTTACTTTGTAAAAGCGACTATTCTATACCACAAACATGTAAATGAATTATTAAACTAAATTTCTAGATTTTGACATGAAACAACAACCTGGTCAATGCCACCTTAACAAAACCAAAGCCTACAAAAGTTATAATATTTTTCCATATCCCAGTAGTTTAGACTTTTGGCTTTCCAGAGAAAGTTTTTCTTATAGTAAATATGTAATATGAGATTTCTGATATCTCATTCACCTTCTTAATTATATCTTGCA